TTTCAAGTTTTCTTCAGATACAACAAGGAGACTAAGGAGAAACCTCCACATATTTCAGAAGAGCCAGGTATCTATATTTTCCTAGATCATCACCTGATTCAGTTGTTTACAGGATCCATCTCAAAGATCAAGAAGCCAGTGACTACAGAAACAAGATCAGCAAAGAAGCACTTGAAGAATTCAATCAAGTAGTTCAGACTCTCCCCAAAGGAATTTTGTTTGCAAAAGCATGTAGGGACTACATGATCGGCCACTTCTTCTGTGATAGCAAAGACTCTATCCAAGAGATGAAAGACTTGTTCACACACGCCCAAGAAGGTAGACCAGTTCGAACTCTGCACAAAGTTCAAGACAAAGGTCAATTTCTTATCTCTTGTGACATTAGAGGTGAAATATTCCTCAATATTCTTTTTGATTCTGGAGCTTGCATTAACATGATGTCCAAAGCTACTGCATTGAGACTTGCCATTAAGCACATTTCAAGTACCAGATCCTATTTGATCTAAGTCTTTTTCTTTGCAAAGTCTAGCTAAGGACTATAAACCAAAGCGCTTAATGGAAGACAACCCATTTAGGTACTTATTTATTTTTGTTTAACTTTCTTTTTGTATTGAAGTTTTGTTTTTATTTCAGGTCTTAGTATGCCTTCAAAAAAAAAACAAAAGGAAAATGAGCTGACCGCGGCCGAGAGAGGTTCAGCCGCGGCCAGGAAGCGTTTTGCCCCGCAACCAGCATCAGTCCGGCCACCCTTGACCACTTCCACCTCTACCTTGATTCAAATCAATCCTCATTTGATCAAGCACCACTCCACATCAACCACCATCCATCATTCAACATCCTACCACCTCCACAACCACCTCACAACCCATCACCAACACCAGGTAAGTTTTCTTTTCCTTCATCTTTTAAAATATTTACATACTCTATTTCTCATCCTTGCCTGATTTATTTCACACTGGGGGCAGTGTAATTTAAGTCTAGGGGAGGATTCCATCCCTTACTGACCACCTTTTCTTGCATGAGCCCTTGCATTCTGCATTTTTCTTAAAACTTTTCAAAAGTCTTAACTTTTCAAAAGTCTTTTGAGTTTCAAAAAGTGTTTTCAAGGGCCGAATACATTTTGAGGGAATAATGACAAAATCAATGATGATAACCAAACTGTCTGCTTCTACACCATCAGTTCATAAACAGCTCTTTCAAGGTTTAGTACTAGACTAGGCGGTACCTAGAGTACTTGCACTATAAAATCCCACCAGAGGACTTCTATTCATGGAGATTTTTTCTGACAGGATATACTAGCTCATTTTACTTGGACTTAATCTTAACATCTAATTTTCTCATCAATGGTTTTAAGAAGGCATCATGATATACATCTAGGACATCTTTACCTTATTGTTACCACTCTTTGTTGTCCTAGATGGCCAGTTCATCTTTAGCTGGTACCTTACCCTTAAACCAAACCTTCATGTTCAACCCTCATGCATTTTTTTTTTAAGTCTATGTCGACAGATATGTGCAAAAACGCCAGAGAAGGAGGAAAAACATAGTTTTCAGTCACTCAAGAGAAGAACTGAATGAAACCGGGAAGGAAATGTACCATGCAACCTCAGCAAGCCTCATGATGCCTCAGAATTTTCGTGCTCCCTAAGACTCTAAGTAAAAAGGCGGTTTTCCCTTTTAAAAAAAAAAACGAAAAAAGACAAAAAGAAAAAAATGAAAGGAAACCAAGAGCCTAAAGAGTCTTAGAAACCGAAAGAATTTGAGCAAAGGTAATAGGTATTCACTTAAAGAGTTATGGATTCACAACCTAGACAAAAATCCAAGTCTGATAGAGTTATAAGGAGAACCTGAAGAAAGGAGATCAGAAATCTTGAAGTAAGGAGAATGTGACTGGAAATTGTGGGTATCAACAGATCCATCCTCTCTTTCTGTTTTGCATACTATCATGTCTCTCCAGAAAAAGGTAACCCTAAACACATCAAGCCTCACCACTAAAAAGCCTTTTGATACCTAGCATTGAATGCCTTGTTTAATATCCTTTTGATGAGAATCACTGAAACCTTTCATGAATGTTAAGAGCTAGTTGACTAGAAGTTAGTTCTAAATGTGTGGATTTTCGCATGACGGATTAACAGATTAGTGATGTCGGTATTTTGGTGAGAATTTTCTAGACTTGATCTGATTGATGCATTGTCCACAATTAAGGTCTAGAGGTATGGTTGCTGACATTTTTGAGTTCCCTCTGATTTCAGTTGACGATATTTTTCCAGATTAGATCTTGTTTTGTTTGAGGGCAAACAAAGTCTAAGTGTGAGGGAGTTGATAACACCGTATTTGTACCCATTTCCACCATTGATTTCAAATGCTTTTTCAAAGGTTCTAATCTTTTTTAGAAACTTTTATTATGATTTCTCTATTTGTAGTTTCAAGGCTTTTTTCAAGAAACTTAGGGAAAAATATGGCAAAATGGAAGAAATCTATATTTTTGGCTCAGAGTCAGACCGTCAGAAGTTCAACCTCAAATTAAGACTTTCTCACCGTCTGATCTAGCTCAAATTTGGTAAAATTCAAGAGGAGAAAACCAGCTTTCCATAGCACTTTACATCAAGAAGATCCAACGGTGCAATCAAAAGATACATGGAGAACAAGTTGACCAAATTCACCAGTCCCGGAAGACTCTCACCCACGGAAAACAAGCATTTTACCTGCCTCGGAAGACTCTCACCCCCGGTGGACTCATGCCGAGCCACAAAGCCCAACATCAAAGCTCATTTCGCCATTCCTCTTCAGAGAAGCCCTAAATGAGACCTGGAAGACCTTAGGACCTATAAATACATTTCTTAGCAGTCTTAAACGGGTGTGTGCTCCTGTAATAAGATTTTGAGTCACCAAACTTTGTTTTTCTAGAGTTAGGCGATGGAGAATGGGATTCTTCCCTGGATCCATTGTTCTTTCTCCTTTCTATCTAATTAACTTTTCTGTTTCATCTTTTGCATTCTTTCATGTCTTTTATCATTCTTTACATCATGTAGATCTGTCTTAGAGAGTCAAGTTGCTAAAGAGTCATCGATAGGCATACATGTTCAATTAGGATTTCTAAGTTTCTTAACCATATTCTGGATCTAATCTCTTCTAAGTTGTTCATATTGCATGAGAGTAAATTCATGACCTATTCTCTGAGCCTAGGATCGATCAGAGCCACGAGAGTGCTGTATCAGATCATCCATACCTAGCTTCAGAAGAACATAGTCACTATAGGAGTCGAGAGCTACCTGTAGAGAAGATGTGAGCAAAAACGAATTCAATAGTTAATGCATGATCTTATTTCTGGCATGAGAGCGAGAGTTAATTTTCAGATTTAAGTGATTAGTTGATTAAGATGGCGAGAGTTGGTTAATCATACACATGTCTATTCCAGTTCCATGTAGATCCCAGAAAACAGATGAAGATAAATCGCCCGGAGGCTAATTGGAAATACTTAGAAATCGATTAGAGTAAACCGGAAAAGTCTAAATCGCCCACTATGAGTCTAGAGTCTATAGTTTGAGTTGAATACCCTTGAGATATTATTTTAGCAACTCATTTGCATTGCATTTTATTTCCCGTAAAGATTAGATTAGGTTTAGTTTATGACCCATAACCAAAAATCCCAAACCCCCATGTGTTTATGACTTTGCTTACTCTTCCAATTTGGTGTTATTGCAGATTAGACATCTTCCCTGTAGATCGACACCCTAATTCCTACAACGTACATCTGTGCACTTGCAGACACTAGGGTTTTATAAATTTAAAACGTTGTACCAATGGGCTTGCAAAAATATGAGCAACCCTAGGCCCACCAATCAAATGTCTTCGGGGCAAATGGAAAATTTTGAGATCCAACCGTTGAGTCTCCAAACCAAGTGCATTTGAAAACTGGTTGAGTCTTCTTTTAAGTATCCAATTTTGGGGGTGATCAGACGGTGAGAAGGTCTTCGTCTCTTTTGTGAGCCAAAACTCGCACAACCAAAAACTTGTTAAGAAAAACTTAAGAGATCCAAAATTTCTAGGGTTTATCGCAAGAACAGTAAGATCGAAAAGAGGCTTTTCTTGCTGGAAAAGTTATTAAGTATTATTACTCTCGAGTTATGAAAAGTTACATATTGGATCGCATGAATCGTTTATTTATACTAATTCTCTAAACCGTCTTGCCGAGAATCTCGGGAGAGATTTTCAGAATATTTCCTTATCGCTTCGCGCAGCCACCGTCATAATGATTTTTCCTAGGGTTTTACTGGGCTCATGTCCTTAATGACTTCTGCTCGGCCCATCTTCACTTGTGCGCAGCTCTGCCCATCTTCTCTCGTTCACGGCTCGACCCATCTGAGCGTCCTTCACGCGGCTCGGCCCGTTTATCGCCTCCTCGCAGCTCGGCCCATTTACGATGTTGGGTACGGCTCAGCCCATTTCTCTTATGTGGGGGCTTGGCCCGTATCCGATGAATTACTGATTCTTCTTGCCAAAGCGGCTCTCCCTGATGTTTAATTATTCTTGAGATGATTTAAACCGATTGGGGTGAAACCGACCCCAACAGTTAGCCCCCCAGCTCGTCAGTTTTGGAGACGAGAATGAAGAGGTTCATCATTCCTAGCTGTCAAATTAACCATCGAGTTAAACCTGTCGCGGAACAATTCCAAGCGAGATGTGTTAGGGACAAGATTTCCGAGCTAGTAAAATGATAAGGTGACGTTGTTAAAGGATAATGCCGAGCCGTTATAAAGACAAGGTGACTGATATGGGAGACCATGCCGAGCCGTTTTAGCAAAAGTTATGCCAAGCCGAATAAACAACGAGGCGTTATGTGAGAGTCGTGCCGAGCCGAATAGACGACGAGGCGTAACGTGAGAGTCGTGCCAAGCCGCGTAGACGACGTGGCATTATGTGAGAGTCATGCCAAGCCGGATAAACGACGAGGCATTACGTGAGAGTCGTGCCGAGCCGTGTAGACGACGAGGCGTTATATGAGAGTCGTAGACGACGAGGCGTTTGATCCAATGGAAGCAAAGCACGAGATAGAGTGTTTAATGGCAAGTCGAGCCTCTTCTTCCATCGGGCGAACGAAGTCGCGAAAGAAAAGACAACGATCGGATCCTCCCGGCTCGTCGTTATCTTCTCCTGAATCGCTGGATGCTCTTAGGGTTTGTTTTGGTATCTCCGAGGAAGTAGAGTTCGTCGTACCGACGCCCAGCACCGTGCTCATCTCCCGCCTCCCGATCATTTCACTTTGTACGAGGCGTTCTACGACCTATGCTTCCTATGGTTTCCCATTCCCGAGGTGATTCGTGAGTATCTTTGGAAACACAAGATCTGCATTGGTCAAATCATGCCGAGGGGTTTGCGATATATGATCGGGATCTTGGTGCAGAGTTTCGAGTGTCATGTAGACATCGAGCTCGACCATTTGCTGAATTTACTGGAGATTCGCAAGGCCCCTGGCGGAAAAAAGTTTTATATTTCTGCTAAAGGCAACTCGTAAGATAATCGGCAGCTTTCCCAGTAAGGATAGTTTCTGGGACGTACGCTTCTTCTTTGTTCAGATTAACGGGGCGTCGATTGGCGACGGCTTTATCAGCAAGATCAAAACTGATAGGAGACCGATTGGTATCCGATCGATGCCTTGCCTCGGCTCGAAAATATTTTGGGTTTTCGTTCTTAACCTTTGCTTTGTTGTTTTGTTTTGCAGTTCGTGAATTTCTTCCCCGGTGCCCTGACGATCTGTTCGAAGTTTGGGATACACTAGCTGCCAACCGAACCCATTGGAAACGCCATTTCTCGCTGGAAAGAGTCGAACGAGCCCGGTCTATTGTTGCGGGTGTCTTAGTTAGCTCTGAACTATCCAACTCATCGGGCGATACTCGCGACAAGATGGTGATGGAGATTTTCCGGGAGAGAAAGAAAAGAGAAGCTGAGGAAGCGGCAAGACGAGCCGAATAGGCTGCCAATAAAGGTGAAAACGAGCCGAAAGATGCGCAGTAAGCCGAGAACGAGGCGCCCGTGGTCAGCTCAGGGGACAAAGGTGACAAGTGCATTGGTCATGAGGAAGGTGTGATTGCCTGATGTGGTCGTGTCGGTGTCGAGGGTTGTCAAGTTTTACCCTAAATGAAATCAATTAGGGATCGAATCCACAGGGAAGGAGGAACTTTTTCTACAAAAAGCCTTTGAAATAAGTATTAAGTAAGGAAGCCTAAAACCAAAACGGTTTTGTGGGGGTTTGGTAGTATGTTTAAAATGTAAAAACGAAATCTTCAAAGAAAATACGGGAATTAAATGGCGTAATAACTAAACTTAATGAAAATGACTAAAAATGAGAAAAACGGATATTCTAATTGCTTAAATGAAAATCTACTAAAAAAGAAAGTAAATATTGAATTAAAGCTTGAAATAAAAACAGTGTAAATCAATGGAAAAGAAGGCGTTGGGGTTCAGGGAAGTTTTCTCAGGGGTACGAACGATTCAAAACATTGCTAGAGAGTAAATTTGATAAGATCTTAGCTTAAACTTTTCGAACTGGAGTCACAGACGTATGAATACGCCAGTGTCGTGATCATAGACAACTATCTCTCTCAACCCTGACCAGTAGGTTTCCACTCTGGCCTGGAAGAGAAGAGATGCATTATGTTTAAGACTCGTCCTAATTCACAAATCGCCCATAGGTAGGTTTCCACTCCTATGTTTGTTTTGCTCTCCCAAACTAGATCTGATACCTGATGAACACCTTCGTGTCACCAAGCATCTGGATCAGATTGTAGTTCATGACGCTACTCTCATGCAGTAAAAACGAATTCAGAAGAAAAAGTTCTAAGATTCGGCTCAAAAGCTCATGGAATCCTCATCGAACATATAAATCCCCATCGAAAATCCCTTAATCCCAACAATAAAACTACTCAGACATAATGAACGAAATCAAAAGCATAGTATTAATAAGTATAATAGAAACCGAAATTGAAAAAGAAAGAACAAGAGTTCAAGAAAGCAAATCTCTCTCTCCCTAAAAGCTAAAGCAAAAACAATAAAAATATGAAGTAATGATAGATGATGATGAGATTTTCCACCCGTTTAGGGTTCCTAAGACATGTATTTATAGTGCTCAAGACCTCTCTGGACGTCACTTAGGGACATCTTGCTCTTCGCGTATCTTTAGATTGAACCGTTGGATTGCCAAGCTGTAAAGTGCACTGGAAAGCTGATACTTCCATCTTTAAGGTCTCCAAATTTGAGCTGGATCAGACAGTGAGAAGGCCTTCAATCAAGGGTGAACTTCTGACGGTTTGACTCTGAGCTGAAATCTGGTTTTCTATCCATTTTGTTAAGATTTTCCCTAAGTTACCTGAAAAGAGTCTTGAAACTACAAATACTAGAAAAACGTGATAAAAGTACTTAAAAGCAATTAAAAACATAGAAAAAGTATTTCAAAACGATCCATAAAAGTGGTCAAAATACGGTGTTATCAACTCCCCCAGACTTAAACCTTTGTTTGTCCTAAAACAAAGCAAAAGCCTAAACTGGTTAAGTGAAAACAAAAATAAGGAATACACAAATCTCATAGACATGAACTCCTAAACAAAAATAAGGAATACACGGTCAGGACTACGCGACCGCGGTTGAAGGGGTGTTTCCCGCGGTCCGAACACCTGCGACCGCGGGAGCTTATTTCGCGGCCTCTTCCTGCTTCTCCTTGGTTCCTGCTGGGCCGAGCAGGCAGGTACCATCCTTCTTTTTATTTTTTTTTCGGGTTTTTTGATTTTTTTTTGGCTTTTTTTTTGTTTTATAAGAAACACCTGAAACTAAGAAAAATTAAAAGATCAAAAGAAAAAGAAAGAAAAATCCTAAAGAAAACAATACCTAAATGGGTTGCCTCCCATTAAGCGCTTCTGTTTTAAGTCGTTTAGCTCGACTTTTGGTGTTGGACGTGACTTATTCCAATGAAGAAGACCTTGTCCTGAGACAAGTCTTTTTCGACATCTCCTTGCTTTGCTTAGCAGGTTCTTCGTCACTCCAAAGTTCTTCTTCAAACTCTTCTGCTGCAGAACGTTTTCCTGCTTTGCTGTTGTATGGAACAGCTTCTGTGAAAACATCTTTGTCGATATTAGCAAATGAAATCCTCCGGTTTGGCCAGTCCATATAGCTCCGGAAGTTGCTAGAAAAGACCATCCCAGAATCACTGGATATGTTACATCTCTCGTTTCGACAATGTAGAAGTCGACAGGCACTATGCAATCTTTCTCAAAGGAATTTCATGAGCTATTCCTTGAGGTGTTGCATTTGAATCATCAGCTAGGCTAATCTTTGCTTTAGTCCTGCGCAGGTGTCTAATACTAAGTCTCAAAGCAATTGCCTTGGACATCATGTTAAGACAAGCTCCAGAATCACATAGCACGTTTTTTAACATTTCTCCTCTAATAGAACAAGAGATAAGAAACTGACATGTAGTCTTGACCTTATGGAGAATTCGAACTTGCCTTTCTCTGTAGGTGTTGGCTGGTGTCTCGAACGCAGAATATGATTCACAAAAGAAAGCTGCAGCATCATATTCAATGATTGAATCGATGTATGGCATCTTTATCTCGCTGCATGTCTGGTTTTCTTGGATTGAAGAGTCAGCTGAATCTTCAACACATTCCTTTGCCATCATACAAGGTAATGACTCCTGCCAATCTGTTTCTTCATCTGAAACTTGGTTTTCTTCTTCCTGAGTTGCTTTTTTAGGTGCTGGAGCCTGAAGTTGGGACAGAAGGTGTATTATTTTCTTCTCAAAACCCGGAGGAGCATCTGAGCGACCAACTCCCGCGGTCAGAGGTGTCGCGACCGCGGGAAAAGTGCCCTTGGCCGCGATCAGGATGCTTGGACCCGTGGCTCCGGATATGACTTGCTCAAAGTCCGTTTCTTCCTTCTTGTACTTGACACGAACTTCTCCTGCATCTATATTGGGTAGACTAGCATCATATGAACTCATACCAGGGCTTTGTTGTGCATCTTCATCAGGATCTTTGGGAGATTTCTTAGAAAATCTCTCAACTTGCTCAATGTTGGGCATCTGCTCCATTCTTGCATCAATCTCCCGTGCTTTGAGCTCGAGTTTGTTCAGCCTGTGCTCGATCTCTTGCAACTCTTCGTCTGTCTTCTCTCTATACCAGGAGGCGGATTCTCTGACTTCTTTAATCTCCTGTTTTGATTCGACTATATCACTTGAGTTTTGTATGATGTCATACCCTTGTCTTGTCTGCTCTGTTGCGACTTGGTGGATCATCCCAGCTAGTGTTTGTGAGTCCTTGTGGGTTTGCTCTTCCAAAACTCGAACATGATTGGCCATATCATCGAATTTTTTGTTGAACTCTTCAGAGATTGAATCAATTTTCTTGAGCAGGGTGTTTTCGGTGAGAATATGCTGATCAAGGAATTGGTTTATCATTCCTTCGAGGCGTCCCAAACGTCTGCTGATCCTCAAGTTATCCTCTTGCTGACTAGGGTTCTGCAGTGGAGGATTGTAGGCGTGTGGCTCAAAGTAGGTCGGAGGAGGACCATAAGGATATTCCCGGCGTCGAACAGTCTCTCTGCGCCGGTGGTAAGAGTGGTTTGGCTGGCTGTATCGATCCATGTAGCTAAGATTTCGGGCTTGGTGTTCTTCTCTGCGTCGGGTGGCTTGAGGAGTGTTATAGAAACCTTCCTCATAGTGTATATTTCGATTTATAGGATCCATATCTTCTGAAATGGAAACAAAATAACCGAAAAATGGAAAGTTGCAGAAAAGGGGGTTCTAGAGTCGATTTACTAACCTTTCTCGGGGTTTTGCAGAAAAGAAAACGCGTGCCTACTCCGACAACGGCGCCAAAAACTTGATGTGGTCGTGTCGGTGTCGAGGGTTGTCAAGTTTTACCCTAAATGAAATCAATAGCCGCAAGTGCATAGCTGATCGATTGTAGTACTTAGGGATCGAATCCATAGGGAAGGAGGATCTTTTCCTACAAAAATCCTTTGAAATAAGTATTAAGTAAGGAAGTCTAGAACCAAAATGGTTTTGTGGGGGTTTGGTAGTATGTTTAAAATGTAAAAACGAAATCTTAAAAGAAAATACGGGAATTAAATGGAGTAATAACTAAACTTAATGAAAATGACTAAAAATGAGAAAAACAGATATTCTAATTGCTTAAATGAAAATCTACTAGAAAGGAAAGACAATATTGAATTAAAGCTTGAAATAAAAACGGTGTAAATCAATGGAAAAGAAGGCGTTGGGGTTCAGGGAAGTTTTCTCAGGGGTACGAACGATTCAAAACATTGCTAGAGAGTAAATTTGATAAGATCTTAGCTTAAAATTTTCGAACTGGAGTCACGGACGTATGAATACGCCAGTGTCGTGATCATAGACAACTATCTCTCTCAACCCTGACCAGTAGGTTTCCACTCTGGCCCTGGAAGAGAAGAGATGCATTATGTTTAAGACTCGTCCTAATTCAAAAATCGCCCATAGGTAGGTTTCCACTCCTATGTTTGTTTTGCTCTCCCAAACTAGATCTGATAGCTGATGAACACCTTCTTGTCACCAAGAATCTGGATCAGATTGTAGTTCATGACGCTACTCTCATGCAGTAAAAACGAATTCAGAAGAAAAAGTTCTAAGATTCGGCTCAAAAGCTCATGGAATCCTCATCGAACATATAAATCCCCATCAAAAATCCCTTAATCCCAACAATAAAACTACTCAGACATAATGAACGAAATCAAAAGCATAGTATTAATAAGTAGAATAGAAACCGAAATTGAATAAGAAAGAACAAGGGTTCAAGAGATCAAATCTCTCTCTCCCTAAAAGCTAAAGCAAAAAAAATAAAAATATGAAGTAATGATAGATGATGATGAGATTTTCCACCCGTTTAGGGTTCCTAAGACATGTATTTATAGTGCTCAAGACCTCTCTGGACGTCACTTAGGGTTTCTCCAAATGTGGGCTTCAGAAATGGGCTTTTTGGGCTCGGAGGTTGATGGCCGCGGTCGGGAGGACTCTGACCGTGGGGAATGAGTGTTTTGCCGCGGTCGGGATGCTTCTGACCACGGGAAATTGCTTGTTGGCCGCGGATGGAAGTGCTTGCCGGCTGGTTTACGGGACATCTTGCTATTCGCGTATCTTTTGATTGAACCGTTGGATTGCCAAGCTGTAAAGTGCAATGGAAAGCTGATACTTCCATCTTTAAGGTCTCCAAATTTGAGCTGGATCAGATGGTGAGAAGGCCTTCAATCAAGGGTGAACTTCTGACGGTTTGACTCTGAGCTGAAATCTGGTTTTCTATCCATTTTGTTAAGCTTTTCCCTAAGTTACCTGAAAAGAGTCTTGGAACTACATATACTAGAAAAACTTGATAAAAGTACTTAAAAGCAATTAAAAACATAGAAAAAGTATTTCAAAACGATCCATAAAAGTGGTCAAAATACGGTGTTATCATTGCCCCCGAGGTGACCTCTAATATTCCTGACGAGCAGAGGTTCTCCGCCGGTGCAACCAAGTTGGCCATCCTCGCTCTCCCGCATTTACCGAGGCCCCCGACTTCCAAACTTGTGAAACACGAAGCTGCGAATCGCAAGCGCTCTGCCGTGGAGAAGGGCAAAGGCATTGTTCTGGACAAAGACGAGCTGCTTAAGAAAAGGCAAAAGGCAGCTGTCGGCAAGCCAACCCCGAAAAATCTTATCGTGGACGACGCTACTGCTTCAGCCCAATTGTTCTTTGCCGCACCCCGAGAAGCTTAAGCGCCCAAAGTCCTATGTCGCGATGGCGCAGCGTGGTACCAAGGTTGGTCCCTCTTATTTTAACCTTTCTTAGTCGATTCGTTTAGCTCTAATTCTTTTTTTTTTTTTTTACCTTCGGTTCCTCGCCGCGGTGAACGAGCTGTTAGCGGGCTATGAATCTGACGCGCTCAAAGACGAGCGTCGTTTGGGCGAGACAAAGCAGGAGGCCACACAGTCGAAGGCTGAGTGGGACAAAGCACTAGCTCGAATCACCACGCTAGAGGAGGAGAAAAGGGCTATCAGAGCCGAGCTCGAGAAAACAACGACTCGATTCTAGGAATCTCGTTGTCAGAAAAACAACGAGATTGCTTCCCTGAAGAGGCAAATCGCAGTGAAGGATGCACTGCTCGAATCCCGAGTCAAGATCGCCCAGAAGGTAGCCAGACGTCGGCCGCGGCTAAGTTTTAGGAGCTGCTTGCCGAGATCGAAGGAAAGATGGGGATGTGGTGAAAGCCAAGAGGGACGCGAACGACCTTGGTCAAATTCGAAGTAACCTCGTGCTAATTGGCAATCTCCAAAAGCCGGATGCCAGTCTCGATGCCGAAGAAAAGAAGCTAAGAAATTGGGAGGCTGAGCTGTTGGGAGCCGAGGAGACGTTTGAGCGTGCCGCAACAGACTTGCGAGAGAAGCTGGTATTTTCTTCGGTATCTTCGGACTCCGTCGACTCTCGTTTGGGCACCGAACCGCTAGAAGTTACTGCAGCTTCGGTTAGAGTTACGAACCCAACCGGTTCGAACATTAACACTCTGAGGACTACCGATCTTGCGGCCGAGGGCGTTCCTGAGTTGCGTGGAGGAGATCAATAGTATTTTCATTTTCATATCGAGCTGTACTTTGTCGTGCCTGGATGGCTTTATCCATATCGTTTGACTTGTTTGTTTTTTGTTTTGGTAAACATTGTGCCTGGATGGCTTTATCCACTCGACTATCAATCTAATTGCTGTTTGGCCATAGCAATTTTGTGGAAATTGTTTGTTGCGAACTGTTTTTTGAGAAAAGTTCTTGTCAAACGTGGGTGTTTTCACGTAGTTTGTGTAGCCAAGCCAGGGATGCTTTTGTTTTCTTTCCTGGCCGAGATGTTCTAAAAAATTGATGGAATGTCTTGAATAAGCTGTTTTGATACTCTAGATATCGAATGGATCTTATAAAATGTCAAATGAGTAGTGTTCACGAGCTGGGAGGTATATTCTTGACTCTTGAGAAGATGACCGATGTTACTTATGGTGTTTGACCGTTAATGCTGAGGCGTTGAGTCATAAGGTATGACGAGGTGTTTTAAATCGACTCGGTTTTTGATTACCGGCGTATTTCGACTCGGATTTCTTAACATTTGAACCAATAGTGTTAGAGTGTGACTATAGACCGGTGTTCCCGAGAGGGTGAGTGTACTTTGCCGGGTTTAAGAATTCACTTTGGTTTTAGAGAAAGCGATGTAGTCTCGTCTTACAATCTCGTGTTCAATAATGAACTGTGGCGACCGATACATTTTTGGTCTGAAATTTGTATAGCGCGCTTAATTTTTTATCTATAGAGGATGTAACTTGCACCCACGTCCTAGGAAAGGTGGTAAAAAGTCCATTTAGAGAACTTTGTGATTATTGTCTCGTTGTGGCCAGCAACGAGGCGAGATGTCTGGGACTATAGATCAGAAAATTTTTTAAAAGCGAATGTAAGGACATGTAAAAGTCTAGGCGAAGTGAAAACCAGTGAATTGGTGAATGAAAACAAGTTTCTCAAAAATTGCCGAAGCGACAATAAGTGGATGGAAAGTTTAGCCAAAGTAAAATGAATGAAAAGGTAGTCGAAGTGAGAAATCTTGAAAATGATGTAGGTATAAGTGTATACGTACCCCACTCCCCCCCCCCCCTTTTTGGGAGGGGGGACAGCTGAACCCGTCCGAGGACGGGCTGCCTACGTATCTTTTGCAGGGATCAAGCCGTCTCGTAGTTCATGTTGGTCGTGCTGTAACCTTAGTGATAATACTTCATCAGGTGCATTGTGTTCCACGATCTTGGAATTGCTTCGTCAGCTACCGCCGCAAGTTCGTAAACTCCAGGGCGAACTACTTTCGTAATCTTATAGGGGTGTTCCAATTTGCTCCGAGCTTTCCTGCATTCCTCTCGGCAGTGTTTTGGAAAAATTTTAGAAACACGAGCTGTCCTTCTTTAAATATTCGGCTTCGGACATTTTTGTTGTAGTATCTTGCCGTTGCTTGTTGGTAGTTCTGGACTCGGATTAGAGCCTGGTCGCGCCTTTCGTTGATCAAGTCGAGCTCATCCAGAATCATTAAGTGATTCAAACCTTCCTGTCCTAGCAGAAGTCTTCGTTGAATTCCGGGGAAATCCACCTCGGGGGTATTACGCACTCTGTTCCATAGACGAGAGCAAATGGAGTTTCTCCAGTGGCTCGGCGCGGAGTTGTCCGATGCGACCAAAAGACTCCTTCGAGTTCGTCTGTCCATCGTCTTTTCTTGGCGTCGAGCCTCTTTTTCAGGCCGTCTAGGATCGTCTTATTAGTTGCTTTGGCTTGTCCATTCCCCTGGGGATATCTTGGCGTGGATTTGCTCGGACGGATTTTCCATTTCTCGCAGAAAGCTTCGAAGCAAGTTGAGATGAATTGGAATCTGTTGTCGGTGACTCTCTCGTAGGGGACCCCTTGTCGGCAGATGATATTTTCCAGACGAAGTGTTCAACTTGAGCGTCCTTTATGCTTGCATACGAATCGGCCTCGACCCATTTAAAAAAATAATCTGTAAGAACGAGCAGAAAACGCTTCTACTTTGATTGATGTAAAGGCCCGACTATATCCATCTACCATCTCATGAAGGGATAAGATGACGAAATTGACGACAGCAGCTTGGTAGGTTGATGGATTGTAGGCGCGTGCCATTGACACTTCTCGCACTTCGCCGTAAACTTCTGGCAGTCCTTGACCATCGTTGGCCAGAAGTACCCGTGCCGTTTTATCTTGATCGCTAGTGATCTTCCGCTAGAGTGATTTCCACACGCGCTGCTGTGCACCTCGTGCATTATCTTTCTTGCTTTTAATCCTTCGACACACGTCATTAGAGGTCCTAAAAAACTCCATTTAAACACTTCGCCGTCAACGAGGACGTACTGTGCGGCTTGAGCCCTTAACTTGCGGGCCTCCCACTTGTTGGATGGCACTTCTCCATCGGCGATGTAGACTCGGATAGCTCCGAGCCATTCCTTGTCGCAGCCGTACTCCAGCTCGGCTGATGAGGCGTCTTCTTCCATAGCGGTTGCTTCGCCGTTCTCTGGTTATTCTTCGGGAGGATTGATCAGCCGAACTCCTTCCCCCTCCTCTATGCTTGGACGTTCGATGAATTCGACTGGAATTGTTTGACAGAGATCCGGGTTTGAGGTCGAGGCGAGTGCTGCTAAGGCGTCCGCCGAACTTTCGCCTCGGGGCATTTGTGTGAGCTCGAACTCGTCAAACTTTTGTACCAAGTCTTGGACTACTCTGAGGTAAGCTCCCATTCTTCCATCCTTCGCCTCATACTCTCTGTTAAATTGATTTGCTACGAGCTGTGAGTCGCAAAAGGCTCTTATTTTCCGAACTTTAATTCCCTGCGCCAGTCGTAGGCCAGCGATTACTGCTTTGTACTCTGCTTCGTTGTTCGAGGCATGAAAATTTAGGCGGAAAGACTGCTCCAAGATCTCTCCGGTGGGAGAGGTGAGACGGATTCCTATTCCCGAGCCGTGTTTAGATGACGAACCATCGACGTGCAGCGTCCAAACTCCGTCTGGAGTTGGCTCGGTTGTCACCTCGGTCAGAAGTTCGATGAGAAAATCTACGAGCACCTGAGATTTTGCAGACGACCTATTCCGATACTCGATATCATACTCGCTCAACTCTATGGCCCATTTGGCGAGCCACCCGGATTGGCTCGGGCTGTGCAGGATCGAGCGCAGCGGAAGGGTCGTGAGTACAATAATCGAATGCGATTGGAAGTATGGACGCAGCTTGCGAGCCGATACTAGGATGGCTAGAGCAACCTTCTCGATCTGTGGATAACGAGTCTTGGCATCGGTCAATGTCTGACTGACGTAAAGATGAGTTTTTGTTCGGATCGCTCTTCTCTTATCAGTACTCCGCTTACGGCCGTAGCGGATACAGCGATGTAAAGTAAGAGGGGCTCTCCTTCTACTGGTTTTGCCAAGACCGGCAGGCTTGCTAGATAACCCTTCAACTCCTGGATAGCTGCTTCGCATCGCTCGTCGCACTCGAACTTCTTATTTTCTCGGAGGATGTCATAGAAAGGCACAGACTTGTCGGTGGATCGGGAGATGAATCAGTTTAGCGCGGTGACTCTTTCTGTGAGCCTTTGAACTTCTCGCTTTGTTCTTGGAGAGAGAATTTTGACTAATGCCTTGATCTGCTTGGGATTCGCTTCAATGCCTCAGTGAGTCACCAAATAGCCGAGGAACTCTTCCGAGGTGACCGCGAATCTACACTTCGCCGGGTTTAGTTTGTTTGTTCAATTGCTCGAAGCATTCTCGTAGGTGCGCGATATGGTCTTTTTCTTCGATCGATTTGACCAGCATATCGTCGATGTACACCTCCATTGTTTTTCCGAGCTGATCTGCAAACATCTTTTTGACGAGCCGGTTATATGTTGCCCCCGCGTTTTTGAGTCCGAACGGCATGACTTTGTAGCAATATATCCCACGGTCGGTTATGAACCCCATTTTTTCTCTGTCGTCGGGATGCATTAGGATTTGGTTGTAACATGAAAACGCGTCCATGAATGTCAACAACCTGTTTTCTGCAGTGGCTTCGACGAGCCGGTCGATGTGCGGTAGAGGGAAACTGTCTTTTGGGCACGCCTTGTTGAGATCTGTGAAATCTACACAGACTCGCTATTTGTCGTTCTTCTTTTTCACGACCACTGGGTTTGCGAGCTAGTCCGGGTACTTTTCTCGGCGATTGATCCTACTTTGAGCAATCTTTCTACTTCGTCGTTGACAGCCTTAGCTCGTTCAGGACTGAGCTTCCTCCTTTTTTGCTTGATTGGTTTGAAGGTTGGGTCCACGTTCAGCTCGTGACAGGTCACATTGATGCTTATGCCCGGTATTTCCTCCGCTGTCCAGGCAAAAGTGTTGATATTCTCCTTGAAGAAGGAAAGGAGTTCGTTTTTCAAAGTTTCTTCTAGCTTAGTTCCAATCTCGATGCGCCTCTCTAGATACGCTTCATCTATACACATCGAGTCCACCGCATCACATTCTGGCTCGGTGCGTGTTTCGCGGCTCTCCACAATCTGTAATTGCTATAAAAGTTTTGAGAGCTCGTTCGCGGGCTCTCGATCCGTCTTCAGCTTCTTGCGATCTACGTCTGCTCGTGCGTCAGTGACAGGGTTCCTCAACTTGTGATTCGGGACTCCTTCTGATTTCCCGAAATCGTTTTGATGCCTGCTGGAGTCGGGAATTTGAGGCAGAGGTGATAGGTGGAAGGGATCGCCCTCATTGCATTTATCCATGGAGTCCCCATGATCACGTTGTAGATTGCTGGGTGACCAGTGACAGAGAATTCGACGATCTTAGTGACTCCACCGGCCATCTCGGGGAGTCTAATTGTGCCCATGGTCATTGTTGTTTCTCCCGAAAATCCAGTTAGAGGTTTAGGGACTGTCGTCACCTCGCAAAGGTCGATTCCCATACTTCTGAGAGTCTCCCTGAAGATAACGTCTACCGAGCTCCCAGTGTCGATGAGTGCTCTTGCTACGTCGTGGTCTCTGATCGTCAGTTCGATCACCAGTGGATCGGTGTGTGGTCTATCTATCCCGGCCGTTTCCTCCTTGGCAAAAGAGATTACCATGTTCGGGATATCGGTCGGTTCAGTCCAATTCTCCTTCGCTTCGGCTCGGCGCTAATAGGCTTTGTTGGAAGATACCGTGTCTTGGTAATATTGGAATCCATCCATGATCATGTTGATCCTTTGTCTCGGCTCGGGTCGTTCTTCAGGTGCGCCGCTCGGCTCGGTTCGTTCTTTGTGGGTTCTGATGCGCCGCTCGGCTCGGTTCCCTCTTTTGGCTCTGTAGGGGCGAGATCGTTAAGATTCACCGCGTTCTAGAGCTCTCCCGCTGCCATTTTAGCTGCGAGTTTTGCTCCTAGGGTTTGGCATTGCGCCGTTGAATGCCCGTAAGTTTGATGGTACTCGTAGAACGTCTTTTTGTCGTAGTTGGTGGGTCTCCTTACCCAAGTGTTGCTGCGCGGGTCTCCTCTTCCGCGTCCAGGGCCTACTTGGTAGTTGTGAGCGCTTCCACTTCTTGGTTCCTCCGAGCTCTATGTTGTTGCGTTGTTTGAAGGGTTACCTTTCTTCGAGGGGCGCGTCAGGATTGAGCTCCGGATCGCTGCTTTCGTCGCTTCTAACAGCTCGTCCAGATTTTTCATCTCGTCTTCGTTTACGACGAAGTCTGACGATCGATCGATGTAAGGCATCCTGAATTGTTTGCGGTGTGTTGAGGGCCATCTCCCGTCGGAATTCGGATTTGTACTTCTCCAGCCATGTGGCAAGCTTTGCCGGCGTGTGTTTGTCAAAAAAAAACCTTAATTTTTTTGTACTCATGGGCTTGGGCCTCAATGGTTTCCCTTTTGTGGGTTTGGGCCGTCCTTCAATAGCCAAATGCAGTTTGAGCATATTCCTTTCCCTACTTTCCTCTGTTTTGACGGAGAGATTAATTTTTATGTCCTCCTTTTTGGAGAAACCATTTGAATCAAATTCCTCCCTTTGGGAGGGATCATTTTCATCATCCTCTCCTTTTGGAGAAAGAATATTTTCACCATTTTCTCTCTCTATGAGAGGTAGTCTTTCTTCGGTTTTAAAGCCGAGAGAACACTTTTAATTCTTAATCGTATTGTTATCTTGTGTATTGGTCTTCAAGGGACCAGAAGATACAACGAGTCTCGTTTCAATGAGATTTCGAGATGTGAATTGTATTTTAAAGTCACATGTGATAAACTTTCAACTTTCTGGCTTTGTCGTGAACCGTTCACATTAACGCATCGAACTTATTGGATTCGCTGTCAAGCTTCTATGAAGATCTATCTACTTTAGTTTCTACTCCCTCCGTTTCATAATAAGTGTCGTTTTATATTTTAATTTTTATTTCAAAAAGAGTGTTATTCTGCATTTTCAATATAACTTTTTACTCTTATTTCCTGTTTTATCCCTCATTTAAAGATAATAGTCTTTGTAATTAAATGTTATAAAAGTATATTAATTAATGGTATATTTGTATATTTTATTAATTTTTTAATCTGTGTAAAATGTGTGAGAATGATACTTATTATGAAACGGAGGGAGTATTGTTTTTATGCTTTGCTTAATGTTCAAAGATGATGGATAATTCTCTCTATTGTGTGTAATTTGGAAGATTAACTTAATGAAATCAAAGTTTGAACAAAAAAAAAATATACAATGTCCAGTTCATGTTTCCCCGGTTTGGTTTACATTCACATTTTATTTTGGAATTGTAACCGATGTTGGAAATAAATAATATTAATTATTAAGGAATTAAAAAAAAAAGAAAAAAAAAGGATGCGCAACGTTTGAGAAGTCAAATGCCCCAACGTTCCGATGATTTCAAATAAACGCTAATCAATCTCATCCGTTAATCAATAAGCTCCCTCCACCCTCCGATCGTATCTATCTCGTCTTCTTCACACAACGCTCCCTTTTCTCTCACTCACTCTCTTTCTCTTTCCCCCTTCACACCAAATTTCAAAATTCTCTCTCTCTCAGACTCTCACTCACTCAGGATTCTCACTCATCACTCAATCAGATGCCGTTTATTTCCGAAACTGCTAGTGCGATAAAGCGCCGGTTCGGATTCAACGATCGTGCGGCCGCGTCGGAGTCCCTGCGCTCTGTGCCGTGCACGCCGGATGCAAGCACCGTCTCGAGGGAGAACAACACTTATCATCAGTCTCTGGTTGTCTCTTCCGCGGTTCGAAGAATGCCCAATTTGGACGAAGATGGAGAGATTTGCGCTGGATCTGCTCAGATTTTGAGGTCTCAAAGCTTCGAGTTCAACGAGGATCCGTCTTTCTGGAAAGATCACAATGTGCAGGTGCGATTTTTTTTTCTTTACCTCTTGTTAGTGGGCGATTTGGTAAGTGACGATTCGAGTTTCCCTTTGTAGATTATGACTTCGTCGAGCTTCTGTGTGTTTATTTGGTTAGGGATTAACACATAATCGAGGTTTAAAGCACTTTTTCTTTGTTAAATTGCTAGCTCCCAAATTTTTTTTTCATGTCGAAATAACTTTTAGCTTCTGTAGACTTAACATATAATCGAGGACGACACATTGTTTCTTCGTTTGTTAGCTAAATTGCATAACATGACGAATTTGATTCTAAGTTTATCCTGTCTTTCTTCTAATGTTGAAAATAGGTTATCATAAGAACCCGTCCACTTAGTAGTTCAGAGATTTCTACACAAGGGAACAACAAATGTGTTAGGCAAGACAATGGCCAGGCAATCACTTGGATTGGGAATCCAGAGTCTCGTTTCACATTTGATCTCGTTGCTGACGAGAATGTTACCCAGGTACCACATTTTGTTCCCAACCATCCATAATCCATTCTTTAAAGCACAAGACAGTTCCTAATAGTCTCTTTGCTTTTCATTTTCACTTACAGGAGAAGATGTTTAAAGTGGCTGGAGTGCCTATGGTGGAGAATGTCGTGGCTGGCTACAATAGCTGCATGTTTGCCTATGGCCAGGTGAGCTTCATTCTTTCTCTACTGTTAGTTTTATCTGCTTGTATTATTTTCAGCCTGATAGTAGTCTTAATTTGCAGACTGGAAGTGGCAAAACTCACACTATGCTTGGAGATATCGAGGGAGGAACACGTAGACATAGTGTCAACTGCGGGATGACACCTAGAGTTTTTGAGTATTTGTTCTCAAGGATCCAAAAGGTTTGGTGCCTTATGTCTTTCTGTATGCATATGTATTTACTGTGAAATTTTGTGTGGTTAACGTATCTTTCTCTTTTGTACCAGGAAAAGGAGGTCCGCAAAGAGGAAAAACTACAGTTTACTTGTAGATGCTCATTTCTGGAGATATACAACGAGCAAATCCTTGATTTGCTAGATCCATCATCTAATAATCTACAGGTATGCCATACCAAATGTATTTTCTCCATCTTACTTAGATATCGAAACTTGTGATCTAATTATTGTATATTATGTTGGACTAACTAAACATCCTCTCTCGCAGCTAAGGGAAGACCACAAGAAAGGTATCCATGTTGAAAATCTAAAGGAGATTGAAGTTTCAAGTGCCAGAGATGCGATTCAACAATTGATGCAGGTAATTCATTTCGCCTCTCCATCTTTTTATTTTCTTGAAAACTTTTTAGATATCTTATATTAGGTGCACTTGGTCTGCTCTTCTAGGTTTTTCTTATTCTGACCTGCTTCCGTATTATAGATATCTTTTCTCAACTATTAAAGTTGATCCTATGGAAGTTTCAGTTTCTCAAAATAATCTATCCGGTCTATGTTGAAGTTTCATAAGAGTTTTCGAAATATATTCACTGAATTTGCTTTGTAATCTCAAGTCAATTGTTGCATGGTGAAGCTTGGCAACGCTGTTTTCTTGAATATCTTTTCTTTTGCTTTTTTATTAACTACTTTGCATGCTAGATCCTCTTTCATTTCATATTCAGAAAGATAATGCAAGAATCAGTTGACAACTTGCTCATTTCTTTCATAACAGTTTTCTTATGCAACTTCCATGATACACTCGTCGATTTGAATTTTTTTTGTGTAGGGTGCTACAAACAGAAAAGTAGCTGCTACTAATATGAATCGTGCAAGTAGTCGATCCCACAGTGTGTTTACATGTATCATTGAAAGCAAGGTAATCAATTTCATTTACCTTGTCAAAAGTCAGTTCTCAGGGTGTATTTTGTTATTATATGTATATTTTTCAGTTTCTCAGATTAAAGTAACCTGACCTGTGTTTTCTATTAGTGGGTATCTCAAGGTGTAACTCATCATCGTTTTGCACGGCTCAATCTTGTTGATTTAGCTGGATCTGAAAGGTAACATCAGCAATAAAGTTCAAGAAATCGACTACCCTCTCTTTGCTTTAGATATTCTGCTAACATCTGGATTATAGGCAAAAGAGTTCAGGAGCTGAAGGTGAACGCCTCAAAGAAGCAACCAACATCAACAAGTCTCTTTCAACATTGGGGTAAGAATACATCCTTGCTCAAGCTTCAAGTATTCTAGTTTGGTCTCTGTTATGTAGTTTTAATGATTTCTGCCTTTGTTAACCTTGCAGGCTTGTGATCATGAATCTTGTAAGCGTTTCCAATGGAAAATCAGTCCATGTTCCTTATAGAGATTCAAAGCTCACGTTCCTGCTCCAGGTAAAAAATCTTCCTAATGATGAGATCTCAACATGATTTATTAAGCTAAAGCATGTCGCATATTTAGCTTAAATGTCTGCATTATGGTTCTCGCACTTAGTTGCAGTGAGTCATTGACTGCTACTCTTATATATACCTACAGGATTCTCTTGGAGGAAATTCAAAGACAATAATAATTGCTAATATAAGCCCATCTAGCAGGTACATATTACTCTGTGTCTGTTTATCATTCCGTGACGTTTCTCCCTGAAATATTCATTGGAGTGTATCTCATGGTCATTGGTATACTTTCTTTCTTTTATTCAGTTGCTCGTTGGAGACCCTAAGTACCTTGAAGTTTGCGCAGCGTGCCAAGCTTATTAAGAACAATGTAATGAAATTATTTTTTGGTTTGTAAATCTGATATAGCGCACAAGTTTAGTTATATTAATAATATTATACTCAACAGGCAATTGTCAACGAAGATGCATCTGGAGATGTTATTGCTATGCGGCTACAAATTCAACAGCTCAAGGTAATTTTTTTAGCAAAGACTGTTTCTCTTTCTCTCCCACGAACTTGTTCTGAAGTGTTGTAAATCATATTCTACAGAAAGAAGTATCCCGCTTAAGAGGAATGGTTAACGTTGGAGTAGACAATCAGGACATTGACACTATCTCAATGGGTTGCCCTGCTTCTCCAATGTCTCTCAAGTGGGATGGATTCAATGGATCATTCACTCCTTTAACCACTCACAAAAGGATGTCTAAGGTTTAAAATTGCCTTTTCTTAAGAAGATGATCTCCATTGTTCACCATTGGGTTGTTATTAACGTTTTCACTTGTATGGCTTTGTAGCCAAAAGACTACGAAGTTGCACTTGTTGGTGCTTTCAGAAGAGAGAGGGAAAAGGACGCTGCCTTACAGGCTTTGGCTGCTGAGAATGAGGCCTCAATGAAGTTGGTACGTTAGAATATATTCCTTACTTGGGATTCACTTTCGGAAAATCAGAGGATAACTGAGGAAAGAATGATGACATTAGCGAGTTCATAATTTTGTTTTTCTTCAAACAGGAAAAGAAAAGAGAGGATGAAATACGAGGGCTGAAAATGATGTTAAAGCTCCGAGATTCAGCAATTAAGAGTTTACAAGGTGTAGCATCAGGAAAGATTTCTGTTGAAGCACATCTGCAGAAAGAAAAGGCTGACCTTTTGAAGGAGATTGAGGTGCTACGTGCTCAGGTTGACAGAAATCAAGAAGTTACCAAATTTGCCACGGAGAATTTGCGATTGAAAGAAGAGATCCGAAGGCAAGACTCTTTGAAAATCCCCTATTTCTCTATCACAGCAATATATATCTTTTCCATTTTGGTTAAACTTTTATATGCTACACAGATTGAAGTCACAATGTGAGGAAGGTGAACGAGATATCTTGAATCAACAGATTCAAGTGTTACAAGCTAAGGTGAATATTCTATTCTTCAAGACCGCAAAAGTTTGCTTACGATTTGAACTAGCATGTAACTTGGATCTATTTACAGCTGCTAGAAGCTCTTGATTGGAAACTCATGCACGAATCAGATTACACCATGGGGAAAGGAGATGGCAGCATCAGCAATATGTTCTGCCCAAACCAGGTATGGGCTTGATTGTCTCGCAAAGTCTGTTATTTTCTGGCAGCACAAATAAGTTGTCTCTACGTTTTGACACTTGCTTTTGTTGTGTTTTTTTGCAGAATGAAGAATCAAAGAAACTTTCGTCCATCCAAGATGAGAATGAATTCCTCCGGATGCAGGTTATTCTTGCCTTCAGTCTATTCAGCCGGCTCTTTATGCCCTTCTTATTCATTACATCAGATCAAATATGGGTAACTTATGGCGTGTTTTTGCAATCTGAAGGCTATTCAAAATCGGGCAGAGATGGAATCTCTTCAGAAATCATTAAGTTTTTCCATTGATGAGAAAGAGAGATTGGAAAAGTAATTTACTACACACACAATTTATACATATATATATTCAGTTTCAGGTTCAATCATTAAGCCTTAACTCATCTCTTTAAATTTACCTTTCAGGCTTGTTGATAGTTTGGCTAAGCAGCTTGAGGGAATAAGAACCTCAGGCACGGTTGGCGATGATGGTCAGATGGAGGTTAAAACAATGGTTCAAGCCATTGCATGTGCTAGTCAAAGAGAAGCTGAAGCTCACGAGACAGCTATCAAGCTGTCGAAAGAAAACGATGAATTGTGCAAGAAAATAAAGGTTCTGATTGAGGACAACAACAAACTTATAGAGTTGTATGAGCAAGTAGCCGCAGAAAACAGCTCCAGAGCTTTGGGGAATACCGAGACAGATTCATCGAGTAATAATGCTGAAGCTCAGAACAGTGCCGAGATTGCTCTTGAGGTCGAGAGAAGCGCAGCTGCGGAACTGAAGAGTATGATAGGAAACTTAGAGAATCAGCTTAGCGAGGTGCACGAGGAGAACGAGAAGCTGATGAGTCTGTATGAAAATGCGATGAAGGAAAAAGATGAAGTCAAAAGACAGATCTCTCCTCCTGGTCAAGAGAAGCTAATTGAAGTTGATGCTGGTTGCTCCAGTGACACTGAAATGAAGCATTGCAACGTTTCTTCTGAAAGGTTCACAGGAGATTTAAACTCGGCAAGGAAGAAACTTGAATTGGCGCAGGAAAAGCTTTCAGCCTCTGCCAAAACCGTTGGAGTGTTCTCGTCGCTCGAAGAGATTCTTTTGGATATAATCAAACTGTCAAAGCAAAGCAAAGAGGCTGAAAACAGAGTTAAGGAGCACCAGAACGAGCTAGGATCAATCGAAGCCGTCTCTGATCACACTAACGCAAGAAAAGAAGTTGCAGAGAAAAAGATTGCTGCTCTCAGATGCTCACTATCAAAATTTGTATCATCTTCCGCTTACTTTCAACAGCGAGAAGAACGGGCAAAGGCGCGTGCGAACGCAACTTCCGATCATCTAAACAAGAAAAAGGAAGAGCTCGACGTTCTCCGTTCTTACAAAAGAGAAATCGACGCTGCTATGGGTAAGATCCAACAATCCGAGGCGGAGCTGAAGAGTAACATCGTAATGCTGAAGATAAAAGTTGATGAAGAGAACAGGAGACACGAGGAAGAGAAGGTTCTTTGTTCGATCGATAACATTGAGAAGATCAGTACTCCTCAAAGAAACACTCTGCTTACAGGCAAAGCCACAGATTTGCTGAAATCCGAGGAAGAGAAAACAAAGCTCCAGTCTGAGATGATGCTTTCCCGGGAGAAGCTGGGTTCGGTTAGAAAAGAAATCGACGACATGAACAGAAAGTCTCTGAAGCTGGAGACGGAGATCAAAACCGTGGAAACAGAGATAGAAAAGAGATCAAAGACGAGATCCGAATCGGAGAGGGAATTGGATCTTACAATCCAAGAAAAGCAAACGCTCCAGGCGATGGAAGAACAAGGGATGTCTGAATTACAAAACTTGATAATCGAGATTCACGAGCTTGTTTTCGAGTCAGATCGGAGAAAAGAAGAGGCGATGATTGTAAGAGAAGAGCTCGACGCAGAGGAGCTTAGAGCGAAAGAGGTGCATAAGGCTACGATTGAGACGGTCGATAATGCGTTGAAAACGATTGAGATGGTCGAGAAGGAGAACAACGGGAAATCTTTCTTATCAGGAAAGGTTAAAGAAGAAGTAGAGACTGCTTTGGGTTTGGTTCACGAGGCTACCAGGTTGCTTGAAGATTCTCCTTGAGTCGCACGTTAGTGATTCTAGGTGTTTGTGTGAAATTTAAAAATTCTAGGTGTTGTGTAAAATTTAAAAACATTCCTATTTTTTTCTTCTTAGAAGCTCTAAAAAACTTTTATTATGGAATCGAGGAAGTACATCACTTCCTTTTCTTAGGAAACTCATGATTACTTCTTAACTTGTCTGTTCTTAAATTGTGTCTAATTGTGTTTTCTAATTTTTTGTACACTTTTTACTTTTATCAGAACAAGGATGAAGGAGATTTAGAACTCGTTAAGAACAATGTGGTTGCAAGATCTTATTGAATGTTTAGTGGTCCCGAAAGTTTATTTGTTTTATTTCTTTTGGGAAGAATGAGTACAATCTACGCAGACAATCATGTCTTATAATCATGAGTACATCTGTACATGACTACATATTTGAAGTATTGAAACGGAGATCTAACTACACAAACAAATACTTATAATGACATGTAAGAAGAAAAAAATATTGTTGCAATCCTTATTTTAGGTTTTTTTAGATAGAATCCGTTAATTATGGAGTCAAAATTCGAATCTAAAATAAATATGTTATAAACCCGACCTGACCCATATACAAATCCATTATAATCTACCAATCACAAATCTCTATATTATTATTTGAGTAGACATTTCATAAATGAACCTTTATTTGTAAGATATTACAGAATATTTTACATAAATAAACATTTTTTTATAAGATATTACATAAATAAACCTTTACTTAGAAGATATTACTTAAACAAACTTTATAAATATAGAAAGCTCAATTAAATATATGGATATAAATCAAAAGTATATTTAATTTCTTTACTTATTAAAATATTAAAACATATTCTATTATTTTAAATAATAATCAATCCATATATATGAAAAAATCAATTTAAACTTTTGCAATATTTTTTCATTTGTACTTTCATTATTATTTAGTATCATTTTCGAAAATCAGTTCAATTATTTATATAAAAAATGAAATTATGTTTTCAAAATTTAAATTATTTTTTTTAACAGGTTGGCCAAAAAATAGTTTAGTAAATTGTGAAATATATTAAGTAGACGGGTTTTTCCATTTTGACAATCCTATATATAATCATTGTTAACACATATTATATAAGTTATTAACTAAAAATGATAGTTTGATCTCTAATAAAATATTCACAATTAAATTTTTATTTTATGAATATATATATATTAGAGTTTAATCCATGTTGGTATGTATATAAGTATATATATATATATATTAATATCATATTACTTTCATATTTAAAAAAGCTACTAATAATTAAACCGCATAATAATATATATACAAGTAAATATCAGTTGTGTGATATTTATATAGGTATTGTTATCTAATTGTCACCAATTTTATTTATTTATATTTTTTGGTAAAGAACTTTTGTCACCAATTTAATTTAACAAAAAAATTAAATTTAAATATAATTAAAAACATTACCCCGCAGAATATGCGGGTTAATTCCTAGTCCAGTACAAAACCCGACTCAAACCATGGGTTTGTTTTTTCTTCTTTCGCAGAAAAACCTTAAACCATACAAATGGTTTACTCCTAAACAAAAAGTTTACAAAACGCTTTAAATGATATTAAACGTGGTTAATAAATTAATAGCATTAAACAAAATAACTCTTAAAAGAATATAAGATACCTAATATAAAACAAAACACAAAAAATGACAACCAAAACTGAATATTGACTAATAGAAAAATAATCTCAAAGAATTATAACCAATATTCAAAATAGTAGAAAATCGAACCAACATAATTGCAAAAACTAAATAATAACAGTTATAAACTTATTACATCAAAATTTAAAGCAAAGCAAGTCTATTAATAGAGAACAATTACTTAACACTGTACAAGCTATAATAATCTTATATACTAATAAAATTTGAAGCTAAATGTTTCTCAAGGCGTCCACATATGATTTAAAAGGGCAATTTAATTGGTTCACATCAACATTCAAAAATAAGAAAAATTTCAAAATTGTAATATTATTGCTGAAAAAAAGAAATTAAGAAGCTATCCATATAAGATTTTTAAAAAAATTAATTTTATTGGTCCACATCAACATTCAAAATTAAAGAAAATTTACAAATTGTAATATTATTGCTGAAAAAGGAAATTAAGAAAGTTTATTTGTCCAATAAAACTTTTTTTATTGGTCCACCCCAACATTGAAAATTGAAAAATGTTTGTATAATTTTTTCATTAGTCCACATCAACATTGAAAATTGAAAAATTGAAAAATTCTATTTTAAAATTATGAAAAGCAAAGAAATTATATATAAAATTGATATTAATAATAAAAAAACTAAAATAAATAATATTAAAATAGGAAAATTTTAATTTAAATTACATATATACACACATATTTAGAGACTCTTACATTAGCATCCAATTTTTTTATCATATAATTATAATAATTTTTAAGTTTTTTTCCTGTGTGTGCAACCATGTAAAATAAACAAAAACAAAAAATAGAGTAATATTTCACTAAAAATGAGCCATTACAACGTAAAAGAACTAACTTAACTAAACTATATGTTTAATTATTAGCTAAATTACAAAAAATATAATGAAAGAAGATATAAACAAATCCACTACAAGAACAAACTTGACTAAACTATATGTTTAATTATTAGATAAATTATAAATAATATAATGAAAGGAGATATAAACAAAGGCACTACAAGCCACTTTAATATTGAAAAAGAAACCGTAAAATCTCCAAAGCTTGGCCACCAAATTTGAAAAGAATGATAAATTTCAAGCAAGCCGAGAAACATGTCAAGTGATTGATACTCGACACTTTTGAAAAACCAAGCACTGAAAATAGAGATAAGAACATAGCGGAGGAGACTGAGGTATCTGAAGAAATTTTTTGAAATAACATAGCATCTGAATGGGTTTTAACAACCCAACCTGAACCACAAAGTAACAATTAGCTGACCAAGCAACATCCGAATACATTCAGTATGCCTCAAACACAAAGAGAAGAGGCTAAAATTACTTCCCCAATGGGCCTCGTGTGAGATTTTCCAGTTTTGATTTCTACATTTATTACTAATAAAAGTTAAAATTATATGCCTCTAAGAATGTCCATATATGACTTAAAAGTTCAATTCTATTGGTCTACATCAATATTTAAAATTAAGAAAATTTCTAAATTTTGAAATTATATTGTTGACAAACAAATATATTTAAGGAATAATAAAAGTTGAAGCTATAAGATCAAAACAATTAATTGCATATAATTTTTATCAATAAAATATCTACGCATCGCGTGGGCGCAAAATCTAGTTTTATACTAATAAAAGTTGAAGCTATAAGCTTCTAAAGGCGTCCACATAGGATTTAAAACTTCAATTCTATTGGTCCACGTCAGTATTCAAAATTAAAAAAAGTTTACAAATTCTAATATTATTGCTGAATAAAGAAATTAAGAAAGTTTACAAATTCTAATATTATTGCTGAATAAAGAAATTTTGTATAATTTTTTTATTGGTCCACCTCAACATTGAAAATTAAATAGTTTCTAAATTTTATTATTATTTTTTTAAATTATTAAAGATAAAAAATTATATACAAATTTTAAATTAATAATAAAAAACTAAAATAAATTATATTAAAAAGGAAATTTTAAATTTAAATTAGATGTATACACACATAAGATACTTTTAAATTAGCATCAAAATTTTTGTCACATAATTATAATAAATTTTATATTTTTTTTTCTGTGTATGCAACTATTTCAAATGAAAAACAAAAAAATAGAGTTAAGTTTCACTAAAATATGAGTCATTACAACGTAAACGAACAAATTTGACTAAACTATATGTTTAACTATAATAAAAGGAGATATAAACAAAACTATTATAAACCGCTTTAATATTGAAAAGAGACCGTAAAATCTTCAAAGCTTAGCCACCGAATTTGAGAAGAAGATAAATTTCAAACAATCCGAGAAACATGTCAAGTGACTGATATTCGACACTTTTGAAAAGCGAAGCATTGAAAATAGAGAAAGAAGTTCGTCATTAAGACAAAGGATACTGAGGTATCCAAAGAAGATTTTTGAAATAGCATGGCATCAGATGGGGTTTTAGCAACCTGACCTTAACCACAAAGGTAACAATTAGCTGACCAAGTAACATATGAATACATTCGGTAAGCCTCAAAACAAGGAGGAGAGACCACAATCATGACACTTTTGAAAAACAAAGCATTGAAAATAGAGAAAGAAGTTCCGTCATTCAGACAAAGACTGAGGTATTCGAGGAAGATTTTTGAAATAACATGACATCAGATAAGGTTTTAGCAACCTAAGAGCATCTCCAATGTATGACTGCATATTTTTCTTTATTTTGGAGTAACTCCAAAATGGAGTTGGGTTTTACTCCAATGTAAACTCCATTTTTTCCTCCAAAATGGACTTATGACAAAAAAAATAGAGAAACTCTATTTTTTGCTCCATATTTGGAGTAACTCCATTTTTTACTCCATTTTGGAGTGAGAATTGGAGTAGGGTTGGAGATAATCTTGCTGCAAACTCTATTTTGCAGTAAAATTTGGAGTAGGGTTGGAGATGGTCTAACCTTAACCACAAAGGTGACAATTAGCTGACCAAACAGCATCTAAATACATTCAGTAAACCTCAAAACAAGGAGGAGAGACCAAAATCATGACACTTTTGAAAAAAGAAGCACTGAAAATAGAGAAAGAACTTCCGTCATTAAAACAAAGACTGAGGTATCCGAAGAAATTTTTTGAAATAACATGGCATCTGATGGGGTTTTAACAACCTAACGTTAACCACAATGGTAACAATTAGCTGACCAAGCAGCATCTGAATACATCCGGAAAGCCTCAAAACAAGGAGGAGAGACCAAAATAACTTGCCTCGTGTGGGATCTTCGAGCTTTGATTTCTAAATCTATTATTAAAAAAGTTAAAGCTATATGCCTCTAAGAATGTCCACATATGATTTAAAAGTTCAATTTTATTGAATCACATCAATATTTAAATCAAAAAAAATTTCAAAAGACATCCACATCATTATCTATATG